AGAACCAATTTATACAAACCCCTAATAGGGATTTCAAGGATTAGTGCGATATTTAAGGAGTGGCTTTTTCCATTCCAGTCCCTCAGTGAGTTTCCTTGACTGAACGAGGATTCGAACTCAGCTCTCTCGAGTCCTAGTCCCAAACCCCTCCAATTATTACCAGACTTGAGTTCCAAAATCCCACGAATGCCATTTTAAAGCTTTGATCGTCACACCTATAATTGAGTACCCAGATCCATCCTGGAGGGACAGAAAGGTAATATGGATTCCGCCTCTCATGTTGGGGTGATTGAATCTGGCAAGGGCTCAAAAGAACAAATTAACATGGTGGGTGGCAAGAGCTGTATTCAAGGTTTATCCTTTTTGGGGGCTCCTAGTCATGTCTACCCACAGGCTGAGTCACACTCCTTCGCACAGATGTGATATTCGCATTTATTTATGTGATCTGCAGACAGCTTATTATTAAGGATTGGATCCCAAGACCAGCCACCCATGCCAACTTCCTGCATGGCTTGGGAAACACACACACACACACACACACACACAGAGAGAGAGAGAGAGAGAGAGAACTTGGGTAGGGGAAAGAAGAGAAGCAAAGTTTTTTTTTTTCAAATCAACACATTTAGCCAGTTAGATAGCTCAGCGAGTTAGGTTTCTGGCTATGAGCAGAGATAACCTGGGTAGCCTTGGGCCAGCTGCACAGTCCCAGAGCTCCCCCTAGAGGAACGGAAGAGTACTTCTGAGTACTGTCTACCCAGAATACCCCGGAACGAGTCACCAGAAGTCAGAATCAAATTGATGACACATGATTTTTATTTATAATGAATGACTTTCACGATGGCTCCTTTCTTCCCGTTTTAGATTATACTTGCTGAGAACCTGCAGACAAAGCCTGGGGTCCAGAAAGCCGGGAAGCACGCCAGCCATCTTAACCAGGACAGCACTGTCGACCAACACGACTCAAGATGGGGTCTGAAGCCCATACCTCTGCTTTTTAACTGCCGCCTGCATTTTGCAACTTATTTATTTTAATAAAGGAACCTAGTGTGTCTATGCAAAAATGTTGGAACGGAGGCTGTCCTACTTTGGGCACATCCTGAGAAGGCCGGGTTCTCTGGAAAAGACAATCATGCTGGGAAAGGTGGAAGGCAGTAGGAAAAGAGGAGGACCAAATGCAAGATGCACTCACTCCCTAAAGGAAGCCATAGGCTTGAGTTTACAAGAGATGAACTGGGCTGTAGAGGACAGGATGTTGCTCATTCATAGGGCTGCCATATGTCAGAGGTGGGTCATAACAATAGGTCTGGTCACAATTTTTGGAACTTTTATTTCCTCCACTATCCACATTGCTGATCTTGTACAGGGTCAAAAGTACTTTATGTTTGTGATTCCTTAGTGGTCTATCTCCACCCTTGACTTTGTACAAAAACTTCAGACCTTTCTTCTTTTTGTCAAACCATGAAAGTGTCAGAACAATATTTTCAACCTCGCATGCGGTCTATGGTTTGAGTGACTTGCAGGGACTTTTCTTGGTTATGGGTGTGTGTGTGATTGTCACTCTGTCTAGCCAATCATTCCTTCCAGCTTCTGAATTCAAAGAGAGCTCCACCTTTCTGCTGCGCTTTCTTTCCTAATCTTTAGTCTGTTGGTGGTAGTTTGCTGTTGATCTGTTTGGTTAGTTGCTAAATATGTGAACAGTAAAGAAAACAGCATACATGCATCTGTAATTTCAAGCATCTGCAAGTAAAGAATTGTGTTTTTTTTTTACTCTTTCTGCTACAGATGTCTTAAGAGTACAGTGGTACCTTGCTAGATGACGACCTCGCAAAACGACAAATCTGCATGACGAGGTTTTGCGATCGCTATAGCAATTCACAAAACAGTGATTTCAGTGGGCGATTTTCCCTGGACGATGATTTGGTCTGTGCTTCGCGGACTGTTTTTTTCATAAGACAATTTTTACAGCTGATCGTCAGCTTTGCAAAATGGCTTCCCTATGTTTTCAGGACCGATGCTTCGCAGGACAGCCATTTTAACATCTGATCGGCGCTTTACAAAATGGCTGCCCTGTGGGCGATCTTCAGAAAACGACGGGTTTCAATGCATTCCAATGGGAAAACGGTTTTCGCAAGGTGATTTCGCTAAACAGCGATTTCTATGGACTGGATTATCGTCATGCAGGGCACTACTGTATTTCAAAAGGTTTAATTATATAGTGCTTAAAAAGTCAGAATCGCCCACCTTCCACCAAAGACATTTTTTCTGCACCAGTTATCTTTTGGACTCTTCTTCCACCAAGGACATTCTAACTTTGGGGGCAGTTGGAAAGAGCCAGTCACCTTTTGGAGCCTGGATGGATCTACCCAACCCTCTCTGAGCATGACTGGAAGTGAATGGCTGGCCAGAGCAGCCCCATAATTCAGAGACATAGGCAGCCTGCTTTGTGTACACATCGGAATGACCCACTACAACCTGAGCTCAAATACTGAGCGGAAATGGCCACTCATAACCTCTGTGGTCTGAAGTCAAGAACATTCTTTATGAGAATTTCAGATACACCGTGGCTCCTTCTGGGACTGAGCCATGGCTCAAATGATGCAATGATGGTGATTTCCAACCCCATAACATTTCCCAGAACTTTCTTCCCAGTTCATTTGATCTTACACAACATCCAAAACTTCATCGCTGGTCTCTTTGGTGCTTAAAGTCCTTATCCTTCCGTCAGATGGTTTTTGTTTGCCTTCACAGGCAAGAAGGAAATGCAGACATCTTGTTTACGCAAATTATCAGCTAGTTTTATTGCTTTTAGTACTTTTTAGTGTGGAGGGATTGGCGGCAAGGAGGGGACACAATGTTTTCTACTCTTGCCATTACTGTGTGTTGCATGATATATATATTTAATAAGATGCTTAAATTGAACAGTCGAGTTGTTTAGTTTTAACCCTGCACGGAAACTCCTTGTGAGATCTTAGATCTGAGCTACACGGCAACCAACGAAGGCTGAATTTGTTAGTTTGGCTTATTCCGGTCGATCACTTCTCTCATCTGAATTTCATGCCACCCTTCTTTGACTTCAGTTTGTGGCATTAAAAAGAAGAAGAAGAAGCCTACACAAATGTGCCATTTTTTCCCCGTATGCCAGCTTCCTAGGGTGACCACTTTAAAAAGGAGTTTTCTCTCAAGAGAATTGCATTTCAAGATTTTCTTGGTAACAGATGGGCGAGTTGGGAGTGTGCCAACTTACCACCCATTCACCTTGAGAAACAAAGCACCCACACAGCCAGGACACAATCACTAATGGCCATTTAAAAAGATACAAAAAAACCATCCAGTGCTTTTACTTTTGAAAAGTGCATGCCCCCAATTCGATGTCACCCCTATTTTATGCAATTGGCATTATTATTCAATTTGAATTATTGTTTGCCTTGCTCCTGTTTTTTTCCCCACTCAATTTTATGCCTCCCCCTCCCCCAAATCATCCTCATTTCTTTTGTCATCTCCACAAAATATTTTGCCCTCTTCCCGGACAAGGGAAACAATTTTGTGATTCCTCATCCACACAGTTACCCAGTAAAAAGGAGTGATCGGCTGTCAAATTACAATTGTAACATAACACAGTTACATGTTCTTTGCTGCAGAAAGTAATGAATTGTAAGTAACTTGTTCTTTCTAATGAGATATTTCAAAGATCTTGACCCACATGTACGTACAGCAGGGAAGGACTGTAGCTTTATGGCCCAACAACAGGTTGGTATCCAGAAGCTCTCTGATCTTGCCCCGAATGGGGACACTTGGAAGAATCAGATAAGGAGCACAAGAATAGAGGGACACTGGATGTTGTTTTACACTGGATCAGACCACTGGTGCATCTCACTCAACTTTCTCTGGCAGCAGAGGTTCTCCTGAGCTTCAGTGAGGATTCCTAGCCCTACCTGGAGATCCCCGGTCTTCTCTATTGGTCTTCCATCAAAGCAGGCCAACTGTAAGTTCTCCCACTGCTGGGGAATGGAGAGAAGCATTGTGCTCCTGTTGTTCCTCTACCTATATGGAGAACGGGAAGGAGAGAGGAGAGGTTGCAGGGATGTTGTGAAGTCTTTAGGTCCAAGTTCAATTGCAGACTTTTAGTTCAAGTCCCAAGTCTCAGACCTTGAGTCTGAATCTCGAGTCATTTGTCCCGCCCTCTGGCACGTGCATGCATGGAGACAGCGGGCCTGGAAGGGAAACCAGGCAGGAGCACCAGCATGCACGGAGACACTGCGCCAACGTCCTTTCCTGGAGTCCATCCTTGCCTCTGTGCATGCGCCGACCTATCCGCTGGGCGGTGGGCGCATGGGTGGAAGCAGCAGCTGGAAGGGAAGTTGGGCCTGCTGCCTCTGAGGATGGCGATGGTGATGGTGGCGGCTGGAGCAGGTTGGGAGACCCATCCCTAATAGGGACTCGAAAATGCGACTTGGAAAAATGGGCCCAATTTGTGAGTTGCGTCTGAGTCTTCCCCAATATATCCAAATCAAGTCTGAGTCAAGTCGCTGGTGCGACCTAAGTCAGCCTTGACAATGAGTTACAGTGGTGCCTTGCTAGACGATGATAATCCGTTCCACTGAAATCGCTGTCTAGCGAAATCATTATCTAGCAAAAAGCAAATCGTCGTCTAGCGAAAATCGGTTTGTGAAGCAGGGACCAAACATTGTCCAGTGAAATTCCCCCATAGGAATCACTGTTTTGCGAATCACTATAGCAATCACAAAAAGTCAATGTCTAGCGAAAAAACTGTCATGCGGGGTAACTGTCTAGTGAGGCACCACTGTAAAACTCTTGAGTCTCCTTCCCTGGGAGGTTGCTGGCCGAACCACCTCCTCTATCCCACTGCTCCTTCTTGGCCAGATACTTGAACAACACCTGGTTCTGAGGTTCTAAGAGGCAAAGAAAGGTGGGAAGTATGCCCCCCCCAAATTCACCTGAACCTATGCATTGGATGAATAGTTTCAGAAGATCATGCTTACCCCCATTTATTGGCCCCCGAGACCTTCTCGGAATCAGCCATTATAAGCCTGCTGAGAAACGGCCATGGCGGTTTTGGACAAAGAGAAGCTAGAACTCGGGAAGCGGTGAGAAGGTGCGGATGGGTTTGCCACCCCTAACATTCTGCAGCCTGAGGCATCTGCCTCAAACCAGCTTGTGACCTGGATGGTCTTGTATCTCAGTTCCACAGAAGTCCCCATCCTGTTTAGCTTCCCAAAGCAGACAAGTGTGTTAATGGTGATTTGGTGGTACATCAGTGGGGGCATTCCAGATGTCAGGGGGGTAACGACCACCGGCCACGGAAAGTATCTCTCCCTGAGGAAGACTGCCGGAGTAGACAAGGCTAGGTTAGGTGATTAAACCCTTTACCTATTACGAAGCAGCTCCTGGATCCTTCAGTACAAAATGCGTACAGAAACGAAACCTCACAGTAGATGTACGTTGTGAGTCCGGTCCCTGATTGCAAAGCATACCGTTCAAACAGCCGCTAAGAAACCCCAGCATCCACTTAGACATTTGCAATATATTTTCAGCTGTAATTTCAGCCCTGCCTTTTGCAAATGCGATGGGGTCATCAGGGAAGAGAAGAGGGAGCCCCGGGGAAATTGTTTACTCTGGAAGAGAAGGGCTTCATTGATTCCCGGCTCAGAGGCAATTATGGAGAGGATCCTTCCCCCCACCACCGCATGGCCCCTGCACCTATCAAACAGAAAATCAGGGAAGAGAAGAGGGGGCCCTGGGGAAATTGTTTACTCTGGAAGAGAAGGGCTTCATTGATTCCCGGCTCAGAGGCAATTATGGAGAGGATCCTTCCCCCCACCACCGCATGGCCCCTGCACCTATCAAACAGAAACAGTGAGAGGTGCAACCATTAATCAGACAAGCTGCTGGAGATAGCAATGAATTCAGATCAGCATGGCGCCCTGAAGCAGCTGGCCCCTTCCCATCACCCCCCTTCCTCGTCTTTAAATATATAATTAGGCCTTCTTTGTCATTAGTCCCATAAAGCTTAGAAGGGTAGTTGTTGCAGCTGCTTCATTTTCCTTCTGAGAAAAGCTCAACTGCGACAGCAGACTTCCTCAACATGAGCGGTAGCTTTAGAAGAGGTAGCCGTCTTGGTTTGTGAAAGCAAGGCAGGCAAAATCATGTTGATTTTGCTCAACCTGAGTACAGTGGTGCCTCGCTTGATGATGTTAATTCGTTCCAGCGAAATCGCTGTGGAGCGAATATGTCGTCAAGCAAAATAAAAAAGCCCATTGAAATGCATTGAAAACCGTTCAATGCGTTCCAATGGGCTGAATACCTGCATCCTCCATACAGCAGCCATTTTCGGGTGCCTGTTAAGCGAAAAATGTCTCCTAAAAACAGTGAAGAGCCATTTTGAGCAGCCAGCGGCCATTTTGAAAACCTGTTGATCAGTTGATTTGATCGTCATAATGCAAAGAATCGGTTCCTGAAGCAGGGAACTGATTGTCACAAAGCAAAAAAAAAAAAAAAACCCATTAAAAAATTGTGCTGTTGATCTGTTTGGTTAGTTGCTAAATATGTGAGCAGTAAAGAAAACAGCATACATGCATCTGTAATTTCAAGCATCTGGAAGTAAAGAATTGTGTTTTTTTTTTACTCTTTCTGCTACAGATGTCTTAAGAGTACAGTGGTACCTTGCTAGATGACGACCTCGCAAAACGATGAATCTGCATGACGATGAGGTTTTGCAATCACTATAACGATTCGCAAAACAGTGGTTCCAATGAGTGATTTTCTCTGGACGATGTTTGGGTCCCTGCTTCGCAAACCGTTTCTCACAAGACGACGATTTTGGCACGGATCGGCGCTTCGCAAAACGGGTGTTTTCAGGACTGATGCTTTGCAGGGCAGCCATTTTAACAGCTGATCAGCACTTCGCAAAATGGCTCCCCTATGGGTGATCTTTGCAAAATGGCAATGATTTTCCCCCATTGGAATGCATTAAATGGGTTTCAATGCATTCCAATGGGGGAAGGGTTTTCGCAAGACGATGTTTTCACTAGACAGCGATTTGTATGGAACGGATTATCATCGTCATGCAGGGCACCACTGTAAGTTATTGAGACTTTAAGTTCCAGTTAATGAGAAAAAGGAAATTCTGGGCAAGTTGCAGCTATTCTCCTCTGTGGGTCCCAGTGCTTTCTAAGGCATAGGAAAAAGTAAGTTTACCGAAATTTCAAAACTCTTCAACAGGAAGTAAGCGCAGCTGCAATATGATCAGCTTTTTCAGGAGCCCCTGGAATCATCCTCCAGAGAAGGTAGCCGGCATATTCTCACCCTTTTGTGCGTGCCCACATGTGAGAGGCAGAAGACTATAACCTGGTGGGCCTGAAACATCACTATCAGGAACGAGAGGTTACTTTTAAAAAATGTATAAGTGGAAGCTTTCAGCTCGGTACGTCTTCATTCATAATTCACCAGGGCTCGTTTTGAAAGAAGATCTGATACATTTTTTTAACAAGGTAAATGCATTTTAAAGCCATTCTCTAGTTCTCCATGAATATGTGATGATCTCAAGTGCACTGAACGAAGGGAAGAACATGTGCTTGGAGAGCAGGATGGAGGAGGGTGGGAAGAGGGGTAAATCTCCGAGTAGCAAGGCATGATATTTCCTTGTGCATCAGAGTGGGACGGAGGATGCTTTATGGCTTGCTCCAGATGTGTTTCATTCGGCCCTCTTTGTAAATATTCATCAAGGCACTTCATGCTTTGCCTTCTGGTAAACGAGCTAATTAAGGGGCCAGTTAGGAGGAGATTATATATATTCTTTGACTTCAGTTTGTGGCATTAAAAAAGAAGAAGAAGCCTACGCAAACCAGCTTGTGACCTGGATGGTCTTGTATCTCAGTTCCACAGAAGTCCCCGTCCTGTTTAGCTTCTCAAAGCAGACATGTGTGTTCACGGTAATTTGGTGGTACATCAGTGGGGGTGAGGTGGGCATTCCAGATGTCAGGGGGGTAACGACCACCGGCCATGGGAAGTATCTCTCCTTGAGGAAGACTGCCGGAGTAGACAAGGCTAGGTTGGGTGATTAAACCCTTTACCTATTATGATGCAGCTCCTAGATCCTTCAGTACAAAATGCGTACAGAAACAAAACCTCACAGTAGATGTACGTTGTGAGTCCGGTCCCTGATTGCAAAGCATACCGTTCAAACAGCTGCTAAGAAACCCCAGCATCCACTTAGACATTTGCAATATATTTTCAGCTGTAATTTCAGCCCTGCCTTTTGCAAATGCGATGGGGTCAGCAGGGAAGAGAAGAGGGAGCCCCGGGGAAATTGTTTACTCTGGAAGAGAAGGGCTTCATTGATTCCCGGCTCAGAGGCAATTACGGAGAGGATCCTCCCCCCCCCCCACCGCATGGC